CAAATCAACATGGTCACTATGGACTTCATTTTTGGTTAAATACAGAAAAAAACAATAATTCATCTACACGAAGATTTCCAAATGCACCTGCAGATATGTTTTATGCAGCTGGTTTTGATGGACAACGTGTATTTATTATTCCATCGAAGAAATTAGTGGTCGTTCGTTTAGGTTTAGCAAGAACACCAAAAGAAGAATTTGGTGCAAATGAATTTTTAAAAAATGTTGTTAACTCAATTGATTCATAATTTTTTTTATCCGATTGATTTAACATTTTTCATTCTTAAAATAATTCTGCTTTCAATAATCATGAATAAAATAAATAACTAGGCATTTCAATATATAAAATTATTATTATGATGTTTGAATTAGGAGTGAGAATAGATGCGAACTAATCTTAGTTATAACAGCCAGTAGAAATTAGAGTGACAATATTCAATTTGTAAACAGTTGATATTCTGACAAGTAAATAATATAATGAACAGGATCTATTGAAAAGCTGATTGTTGCATTTCCAGTATCTAGCTTATTTTATCTGTTCATATTAAACTAATCAATATTCTAACCTTATAGTCAATTATATAGGAAGAAAACATACACAGATAAATTAGTTCAATATTCTTTAGAGATTTTATTCGAAAGATATTACAAAATACGGTTTTCATTATTCAAATTCATTTATTATTTCGATGATAATCATATCTTATCTTTTATCTTCGTAATTAGTTCAATAATTCTATCTATTGAAATATTCAAATTGACAACAAAGAATTGAGTTCAAAACAAATAAAATATCAAATAAATAAGAGCAGATTACATCACTACATTCTTATTGTTCTTATTTTAAACAGTCAATTGTGTATTTGTCTGTAAAAAAGAAAAATATATTATGAAGTTTCTATTTTATAAATCGATATTAAATAAATGTTTTTTATTCTTTAATATCACAGTTGAATACATTCAGATTCAGCAAAGGAAATTAAACCAACTTGAAAAAATTTGTGAAATCGACTGAAACTGATAAAAAATAGTTTGTTCGAGCTAAACTTCTTTTACCGGATCTATTACTACTATAATAAAATGTTGTACAAAATGAATTATTCCTTTTGCTTGATCAAGTCATGCACAAAAGAAAAAAAAAGACTATAACAATCAAGGCCTAGCGAACCTTCGATTACCATACAATCTTTTGCTTCTGCTATTCCACAACCTTTTGTTATGCTGTTGTCATAACCATTTGGATAGTTACGTACATTGCTAGAGCTACAATCATCTGAATCATAACATGAAGTTCTCCCATAGATGCACGAGGAACAATCATACTGTAAGTCCTCTCTATATGAGCACCTCCTTATACTGAAGGTCCAAAATTCGCTCGAGAGAATTTTGCTGGAAATGAGCCTTCCGATTATGAGCATCTCCTTATTCTGAACTGCGAACGCTCTTTTCCAGTCCCGTGAGTAATAACAACCTCCATAATGTGAGCAATGTGTGTTCTATCATTCGCGTGCAGAACGAGGGGGAAAATTCTACTGTACGTGTTACATTGTAATTAATAAACGATCAAGTAACACATAGATTACATGTCTTCGGAGAATATTCCCGGAAACTCGATTATGTCCTAAGGTAAATGATATATAGATATATAGGTATAGGAGATATAGGAGATATAGGAGGTATAGGAAACGCAGTAAAGGGTGGGTGTAGGGTGTGGGGCTGTCGGGGTGGGTGTGGGGATGTGGGTATGGGTGTGGGTGCGGGTCTAGGTATGGGTGCGGATCAAGGTACAGTCTTCACTGCAGATCCCACACACCCACACTCACACATTAATAATCGTATCATATCAAATGGAACGAAGCAAAAGAAAAAAGAAGTTATTATAAATTCGTATTTATAAAACAGAAGAAGAAAAACCTGTTCAAATATACTTATCCCAGGATAGCACATCCAAGTACGTCATCAAATCTACAAAAACACGACTAGAGTATTTCGATCAATAGCGTCAGCTAGTCGAATTAAATTCGTTGAAAAATGATCTTACAAATACTACATTGGGCAGTTTAGATTTTAATATAAAACGAGACTATGAAACAGAAAATGATTTTTATATGTAGCATATCTTAGTACTCCACTTAACGATGCATCGTAATTTAATTTTATCAACTCATGAAAAAGAAACAAGTAACGTTGGTCGGTTCGACTCACTTGGCCCTTGACTGTATAAGACAGAAGTATATTCCACATGTGTCAGTATTGAAAGAATTGATCTATCAGCTTTATCACAATAACTGACGCAAATTTTAATTTCTTAAATCGTACAAGTTGAAGAAACTGCTCAGCCTGTTTTGTAAAGTAATTTGAGATAAACCTTACTTTTCCGTAAGAGATTGTAAACCTAGCAATTCTTTGTCAAAATGCACTTTAACTGCTAAATACCTGTTTCATCTTTCATTCTCACACAGACAGACACAAAAATTTAGTTTATTTCATATAATCCTTTCTATAGCCGAGGAAATATCATTATTTTCTCATCAAAACTTTTCCCTGACCCTAAAAATTCAACTCAAAATTTTGAGAACGTGACTTCAGATTCGGATTCACCGATCCCGATTTACTTTCGTCAACCTTTACTTCCAGCCTGCAAACATCTGACCGGTTGAAAGCTCAATATACATACCCCTGATTGGCTAAAATCTTAGGATGAAAAAACTTGACTGGCATAATTCCCAATATGAAAAACCCAATTCACTGGAATTCAGATGTATTCATATTTGATGATATTTTTTCAACCCTTGACCCTGACAGAAACACACGTACAAACTCATTTTATTTTATATGACACTCCCTACAGTTGAGAAAATCAACAAAGCAAAAGTTCCCGTGGGAATTGTTGGCACAAATGAGGTCAGTAGAATACTATTATATTCCCATATAAAATGTCTTGATATTCAATTTCGAGATAATAATATCATCTCTGTCACTAGAGCAGGTGGCCTTATGTGCAAGTTCTTATCAGATGAAGTATAAGATTAAACTTTTCTTTTTCGCCTGCTCGACAACATTTTTTCTGTTCGAACGAGAGACTTTGTGAAATTTTCCGCTCACATGTTTTAAAAGTAACTTTTTCTTCCAGATATGTACTACTCTCTGACTGATTGCGTGAACCTACAGATAATACAAAGTCTAGTAATTGTCTTCTCGATAAATTCAGTCAAACTAGCAAATATCGTCCGGACCTTCCTGGATATTTGTGTCTCACTCAAACAGCTGGATGGGACTACTATTGGACTATTTTACTCTAATGAGCACCATGTATCCCTGTACTTGAATTTGTCAGCCTAAATTTTTGGGAGTGCCTCAGTCTAATTGGCTGAATTCCTAGCCCCTCAAAATCTGATTAGTTGAAAACCAGCCCTTCAAAACCTGACTGGCTGAATTTCTAGCTCCTCAAAACCTGAATGGCTGACTTTCCTGGTTCCTCGAAGTCTCATTGGCTGAATTCCCAGTCCCTCAAAACCTGATTCGCCGAATTTCTTTGGCCATCGAAATCTGATTGGTTGAGTTCCCAGCGCCTCAAAACCTGATTGGCTGAATTCCTAGCTTCTCAAAACCTGACTGGCTAAAATCCCAGCCTCTCAAAACTTGATTGTTCGAGAGATCGATAGAGCAAACCTCTAATCGGCCATCGATGTTTTTTTGACCCTGACACAAACACACACACACAAACTATTTTTTTTCATATGACCCTCCCTACAGACAGGGAATATTGAGTTTTGTTCTTGATAGAACTTCTATTTTTAATGATTAAATAATTTAACATTAGAACGAAATATCTTTTTACAGAAATCTTGTTCAAGTTATTAATTAAACAGAGATAGGAGATCTTTTCAACTTGTTGATTGTATTAATCATTTTTGTGGACTTCACATATGTTTTTGAAGAAAATAGTGAGTGTAAGTTTTAGGCTCAAGTTTTGGCGGCTCCCCCTCCCTATTACAGACACTTGGCAACGGGAAAGAGAATATTACAGACATATCCCTCCCCCCCCCCTCCATTACAGACAGCATCCATTACAGACACCCCACCATTACAGACAGCATCTATTACAGACACCCACCATTACAGACAAGTCACCATTACAGACCTCAGCAAGTGCACACAAAAAACTTAAGCTTTACTTAGCAATAGAAAAAAGCTTGAACGGTTTGAAGAATATGAATTTGACTGCTACACAATATTATAATGTTTTCATAATTATTTGAAAAAACTAACATGCACTTAACAAAATTCTTAATAGTATAATCATTGGCTTTTTTAAGAATTTAAACTTGTATGCTAAAAACCAACGGTGAATAGTGATAATAGGTATTAGTCTGTCGTATCGATGATATAATCAATACAAGAAACATGATTCGATCTTTTTATTAGTGTCAGAAGTAAACAATATCATTATTTATGAATTAATTAAGATATATAATATAATAGTGTCGTAAGGACGACTGATGCATATTAAGTGCATTATTGTAATACTCGTTTTTATGAAATAATCAATGATGAAAAGAAAATTTCAAGTAAAAACACCAAAAAAAAAGTGATTATTATCGAGTAATACCACCAATAATAAAAAAATCGGACGCTCTCAAATGAAAAAGACAGTCACAGTTTTAAATGTAGAAATAAATAATAAATTATTGTTCTTGTCAGTGATGAGTTATGAAAACAATTTTAGTCGACAGAAATTTTTCAGCTTACATGACGTATTAGGATAACAAGTCTAAAGGATATACGTGAGTCCCACATTTCAGCTCCTCTAGAGCTGCGCTAACAAGCTTTTTTTTTCTTTTATTGATTCATTTTTTTCCAAAGAAGTTTTTCTTCGATCTCGAGTTAATTCATGCTTAAAGTTTTTTTTCAGCAAGCTTTACTACAACAGCATACCATTAGTAAAGAAATCCACATTTTCAGTTGATAGAAGTGATTTAAAATTGAGCTCTTGAAAATCAATGATCTTATCAAACTTGTAAATAACTTTCATTTACTGTGTGCAAAATTTCGAATAGAATGCAATTTTAAATGTCGTATTTCTCGAAGTGATTTAGCAGTAGAAATGATTTAATAGTAACGTCTCAATCGAAACGATTAGGACAATAACAATAAATAGATTTGAGAAGAATTATTTTTATCGATTTGATAGCCTTTTTTTCTCTAGTGACGCAAAAAGAAAAAAAACAGCTTTGATTAAGAGAGAAAAATATAGGGTTTCTTGTAAAGTAAAAATGAAAGTAAACTAATACAATAATAACATCGTTTTATGTATGTGGATAGAAAGATTTAGAATATCGATGCCTTTTGTCTATTAATATGGTTTCACTGAATGATGTTTTTATTGTGAAAGAGAATAAAAACTCAACGTTAACAGAATGTCATTATTTCTAAAAACCAAAGCATAAAAGACATTTATACTAATTTAGACCATCGATTGAAGTAACGATAATGAAGGTATTCTCTTTCTTTGTTAAGTAGTAGTTTTTCAAAATTAATTTTAGCCACGTGTTTTTCCAACATCATCGATTAATATTCATGGTTCTTGTTAGGAACGACATCTTTCTCTATGTTTTTTTCTTTCATGTCACTTTTGTTCGTGATCTTTCTTCTCCTCTTCTTTCTTCATTTGATATTATATATGTGCGTGCATAACTATTGTACGGGGGACATATTACTTTTCTTAATAAAAATAGAAGAAAGGTCAACATATTGTTGAATCGAACTCTAAGTGCAAAACATTATCTAACAGTGATATACGAAAACAAGCTATAATAATTTTTTTTACGTTGAGATGAAACAAGTTTTCTCTACATATCACGTCGTTGTGTTGGAGGATGATCAACAAAATTTAAAAATAAAAATTTTGTCATTTTTAATATATGTTTTCCTGATGTTTCTTCCGAATGATAAGCTTTCGAATTAATCTTTCGATATAATATATTTTTGTCAATTATTTTTATTAACAATTCCTCTCAAAGAAATTATTGATGAACATTTTCTAAACTAAAATATAATGAAATATAATAAATAGAAGAAGGATAGAATGATAACACATCGTTAATTGTAAAAACCAATTGTTGTTCATCGACTGGATTTTCAGTTTTTTTTATTTTCGACAATTTTCATCTATTAAACGAAAAAATAAATATCGTATGAAAATGAAAACTTTATGTTCTTATTCAAACAAGTTTTTATTCGAAATTTCGAAACTGATCCATTAGAGGAGATTACAATATTTTATTGAGTAGCTCACTAATGTCATTAGATTCATTCCCAGAGTAATACTATACATATACAAACACATCTTTCGTTCGATATTTAAACGTGCAAGGGCAATTTCTACTGAAATCGTTGACAAACAATGAATACTTTTGAAGCGATCAATAAATCTTTCATATTAAACGAAGTAATCATCGTTAGAGACTTTCCGAAGTGTCTATTAGCATTAAAACGATTTCTGATCGAAAAGCTGATGTTCGAGTTCACATTCGAAAAAATCATCTGAAATGCTTTTCCTACTGATCAAAATCCTGCCGAAACAAAAAAAAGGAATTAATATCCTACCAAAAACGTCAACATCATAATTATTCTTTTTCAAATGATCGAATAATGATGAAAGTACAGGTAAAATAACCATATGTATGTATGTATGCTAAACTAGTTGTATCACGTTGTAATATTCTTTTAATATTACTACGATGTTTTTGTTCAAGATTTTGTACAGTTTGATTAAGATATCTTCAGGAATATTATTAAATAATGGTAATAAAGAAGCACAAATCATTTCTTGACTATTCTTCATTATAGAACTAAAATAAAATATTTTTTCAATAAAAATTCAAATTGATTCTCGGACATCAATAGCACGAACGAATACTTTTAAACAACGAACAGTTATACTAATATCATTATTAAATGCATTAAATTTTTGTCGAAATAAAACAGCCAATTTACAAAATAGACTACAACTCATTTCTTTTTTTTTTGTTCACTGATGCATTACCAATAAAATAAGTTTTATGTGTTCGAAAATATTTTTCAACAAGTGATAGAATGACCTAAAATTTAATCATTTATTTATTTTTACTTTTACGAAACATTTAATATCTTTTGTTGTTAAAGAACAAGTTTCATGTAATGAAAATTTTTAACTTTTCTTGTAATTTTGCATTGTTATTGATGCACGTTCAACATATTTAAGTAATTTTTCTAATAAACTGTATGCAAAACATTTATCACTTATCAATGATGACAATGAAGACACATATGGGGAGATAATATTGAATCTGTTGTATGGGTTTCATTAACATTTCCAAAATCAATTTACTGTATAACATATACAAATTTTCTCTTTTTTTTTTGATTTTATTTGACAGCACGATAACCAAATGTATTAAGATATTGAACAAGAACTTAATAAAATTTTAAATCTTTTTGTTTTTCTTTACCAGTGGATAATTTAAATGGAATAAGTCGACATTGAAAACTATCACCTAATTATAATATGAACGAAATTAAATTGAATGAAATAGTTATTAATAATTACCAATCGTTACAAGACGGTCTTTTAATTTCTTCATCTATATTTCATAAGCATTTCATGGTAAAGTTTCAGATAAATCCTAAAAAAAAAATTAAAATCAAGATACATACAATTTTCAACTGATTTTAATGAAAGATAGAAATATAAAAAGTTATATGGTAAGGATATTTTTCTTTTTGGGATTATGTATTATCTGCATTTCTCGATTCATTGTTATGCTATTGAAATCCATGGTTTTAGATATATAGTCTGATTCACTTTTATCCTTAAAAAAATAAAGAACGAATTTCTTGATTTGACTCGTTTGAGAAGTTTCGATTAAATTTTACTTTTTGTTTTATACATTGTAATGGTTTTGTAGCAATACGTGTAACACCTGTATCGGTTTTTTCTGAATGAAATTGTAATTTTTCAATAGATTTTAATGCTTCACGAATAAAATCTTCGAGTTTAGTAATATCCTAAATTTGAAAATTGAAAGTAAACAAGAATTGATGAAAAAGAAATATGATTAACCATTCGGTCAAGAATTTTGTATGATTTTAAATTAGAGAATGTTGGCGTATTTAGCATTAATTTGTTCACTATAAGTCCAATGTTGTTCAATCTAAATATCAATATTAAACTTGCAAATAAAATTAACTATATTCATATTTCATTTACTTTAACATAAGATCATTGATCATGAACACTTTCAGCATAAGCCTTCCCAAAATCTTCTAATGCTAGAGTCAAAACAATACTAAAACGATATTTGTATTCAGTTTATTTTTGGATTTATTTAGCAATTAATTCACCGATTTTTTGCTAACATTATATTAATAACAGAAATTAATACAGTATACATAGGAGTAAAAATTAGTCATTCTATTTGTGCTTAAATAATACTAAAAGCAAGTAAATCACAAGTACAAATAACATTCTCTTTAAATAATTCACAGATAATTAATGGTACATTTGATATATTAACTTAATTAATACGACTATCAATATTTTTTTTTTAAATTTCTCATACTAAAATTTCATATTTGACTGTTGATTTATCAATTAATGATGTCTAAGAAAAACGTATACAACTCTATTTTGATAATTTCAACTCATCTTACTTATGAAAGACAAAGTTTAGCTGGTGGTATATAATGATGTTAATATTCAGATCTGAAAAATCTTCTTCTCCTAACTTCTTTCTTATTGAATTTAAAATAATATTCATTTTCTCCATCACTTCAACAGCTTAATAAGAAAATGTCAAATAATTATTGTTAATTTTTCTCAAAAACGAATAGTCGAAATGATATTTAGCTTTACAAAATTTCCGTACGCAGTGTTATGAATTCAAATTTGTCCTTGACTTTTTGCATGTGATGTTACAACTGGATATTGAAGTGCAAAACGATCAACGGAATCTCACTTCTTATCTTTAATCGATGTGTCGACAAATTCTTTTGATCTCGTCTCTTGTTTTACGTCACCACTCGTTCTTTTAATCTTAACTGTTCTTGTTATAAACTGTCTTCGGTGACTGAATATTTTAGTGATCCTATCTCTTCTCGTCATTGGCTTCAACAGGTGATAAACCATTGAATTCATCTCGCTTTTTTCTCTTCTCATAGTGACCAACGTGTGACAAACGATAAAGAATTTTATTGTGTTTGCCAATTCAATTTCGTCAGTATTATCTACTGCGACAAAAAAAACCAATATTCAATTGATGAATAACATTATTTTTTTTTATATAAATAGTCGATATTAACAAAGATAAAGTATACATAAATGACCTTGCTTACCTTTTTGCTTTTCAATAGCACTTTGAGTTTATTGATATAATCGTACGATATAATTGAAAGCATGTAGTTTCTTTCTTTCTTTCTTTTATTCTTATCATGAGTTTACTTTTGCACCGTTTAACCTTTGCGTATATTTCTACTGTCTAATATCGCAGTTTGTATTCGATCTGTTCTTCTGCTTGTTTCATCCTATAAGTTCATATTTTTGTCTGCGACGTATATACACTTTTGTCTATCTGTTGGTTAGAGAGTGTCATTAACAGAACACAAGGACTGTTCAAATCATTCGAGCTCGAGGCCAAGAAATTATATTTAGGAGATGTTGTCCAAGAATTATTTGCTTTATTTTCTTCGACTCTTTTCTAGACTTGTGTAATTTTTGAATCAAAAATTAAAACAATATTATGCCTCCACCGACACATGGAGCTGAATATGAACGATTACGTGAAGTTTATGATCGAAAGAGAAATTGGCCTCGATGGGGTCCTTATTTGGCTGAACGACAATGGGGCACTGTACGTGAAGACTATTCTGATGATGCGAACACTTGGGAGTATTTTACTCATGATCATGCTCGATCGAGAGTTTATCGATGGGGAGAAGATGGTCTACTTGGTCTGACCGACCGACATTGTCGTCTCTGCTTTGCTGTGGCTCTTTGGAATGGAAAAGATTCAATATTGAAAGAAAGACTATTTGGTTTGTCTGGAAAGGGTAAGTTTGATCGATGTATAGACTGATCGATTATTATTCACTTAGTGTAGAAGGTAATCATGGTGAAGATGTAAAAGAACAATATTTCTATTTGGATTCGACACCGACGCATTCCTATATGAAATGTTTATATAAATATCCTCAACAAGCTTTTCCTTACCAAGAATTGGTCGAAGAGAATAAACGACGAACCAGAAAGGATCCTGAATATGAGTTGATCGATACGAAAATTTTTGATAATAATGAATATTTCGATATTTTTGTCGAATATGCCAAACGTGATGTTAATGATATCCTAATTCGGATTACTGTCACGAATCGATCAGATAAGTCGGCTAAATTACATCTGTTACCAACACTCTTCTTTCGAAATACTTGGGCTTGGACGAGCCAAATTGAAAAAGAGTAAGTCATACTTTTTCATAATAAGAAAGAAAATTTGTGTTCATCGAATAGCTTACTTATTTTTCATTCTGTCTGAACACTTCATTTTTGAAACGTTTTTTCTTTTTAACAATAATCGAGCTTATTTTTCTATCGTTTCGAAACGCAAATCAGATATGCAAATTAGCAAATATCATTTATTGATTATTATTATCGATTTCATTCGGATTGGCCCTTTCTTCAATTATTGGACGCTCTTCAAAATAATCACGAAAGTTTCTTATACTACACATGTATGCAAAAATTCAGATTTCATTAATTTCTTTCGAAAAAAGATTACTATTCAGAATTTTGTCCTTGTTGAGTATCCATGAAATATTCTTGCTTTTCAGACCATTTCGACCGAAGATCGAACGACAGGATGGAGAAAATATCTTACGAATAGAACACTGTCATCTAGAACCGTTCGCTTTTGATATCAATCCAATGGATGGTACTGATGATCAAGTACCAGAAGTTTTATTTACGGAGAATGAAACAAACTTGAAAAAACTGTACAATATGAAGAATGAATATCCGTACGTCAAAGATGCATTCCATGAATATATTGTTAATGGCAACAAGGATGCTGTCAATCCATTACCACAAGGAACAAAAGTCGCTCTTCATTACCAATTCAATGTTGACGCCAATTCGTCACAGATACTTCATCTTCGACTCTATTGTTTGGCTGATACCGGAAATATGCCACAGAAACTCAATCGAGAAGAATATAATAAAGTGTTCGATGAACGAAAACAAGAAGCCGACCAATTCTATGAATCAATTTATGCAGGTGAACTGACGGATGATGAAAAGAATATTATTCGACAAGCTTATGCTGGACTTCTTCATACCAAACAATTCTATCATTATATTGTCAAACATTGGATTGATGGAGAAGAGAAATATTTAATGCCAGCTTTTCCGGAGAAACGTCTTCAGACTGTGAAAAACACTGCATGGCAACATATGTGAGTCCGATCGATACTTTCGTTCTCTTTTTTTTTCCTTCCTAAAATTTCAACTGATCATCTGATTCATTCCTTATTTCAGGTGGTGTCGAGATGTTCTATCCATGCCAGACAAATGGGAATATCCTTGGGTGGCCTCTTGGGATTTGGCCTTTCATGTAATTCCATTTGCTCATATCGATCCAGATTTTGCTAAAAGTCAACTACTTTTAATAATGCGTGAATGGTGAGATAATTTCATTTTCTTTCAAATTCTGATAGGAATGAAAAGCTGCGCAGTAAGATTTTAGCATAATTCATAAAGTCAATTCTGAATTTTTCTTACATATTTCAATGTCGATACATCAAGTAATCAAGAAATCTGCAATAAAAACCAATTCATTATTTATAATCAACCGCTCCATTTTCTCGAACTCTTTACGATTAAATCTTGCATATATTACTTTGTTCAATGTGACAGATTTCGAAAATCTATCAAGATACAACAGAATAACATCGTACGAAACTGTTGGTATATTGGTTCCACATAAATTATTTTCCAAATCTCATAAAAATACAAGATAGTATTGGAGAATCAAAATGTAGGGACGCAGGCTTTTTTCTAGAAAAGTACCCATGATCCTATGGGACTAAGCTTTGTTATCATTCAAGCAGTGTAGTTTTAAACGACCATTTATTGTTGAATACTTCAATAAAAAGATCATGAATATGTACTTCTATGAATATCTGTGTGACCGAGTGTCAATATTTCCCCATTTCGATTATATTTTTCAGGTATATGAGTGCCAATGGGCAAATTATGGCCTATGAATTAAATTTGGATGATGTCAATCCACCAGTACTTGCTTGGGCGGCATGGCGTGTATACAAAATATCGGCCGTATCGAAAGAACGTCGAGATCGAGACTTTTTGCATAGTGTCTTTCTTAAACTTTTATTGAATTTCACTTGGTGGGTCAATCGAAAAGATCCCTATAATAAAAATATATTCAGTGGTGGCTTCCTGGGTTTGGACAATGTCGGAGTTTTTGATCGCAATAAAATACTACCAAATAGCATGGAAATGCATCAATCTGATGGAACATCGTGGATAGCCTTCTTTGCTTTAACCATGATGAATATAGCTCTTGAATTGGCCGGCGGAAAAGACGAACTGCCGATGAATGGAGCTTTTCAAGATATGTCCTCGAAATTTCTTGAACATTTTATTTATATTGTCGATGCCATTAATAAATTCGGCGGAAAGAAAAATGGATGTAAGTAATAACGTGCAGTTTGGTAGAATTGTCATTTTTTTTTCAGAGCCGATTTCATATCAGATCGAATAGATAGATTTCAAGTAGACGATTGCAATAAATAAATGAAAAAAAAATTAACGAGTTTCAAATGAATAAAAAAGTCTACCAGAGATTAGTCACACTCAAAAAGCAAATTAATTAAAGTTATATAGTCAATAGAAAATAAGTCTTATATCAAACCGTTACTCATTTCATTCTCTAGATGCTTCTTTGCCTTTTGACAGACATAAAAGCTAAGACGTCTTGTAGAGCTATTTTTGACTCTTACAGTCTGAACAGGACTGAAATGTGGTACTCACATACAAAAAAAAGCCAAATGATAAAGAAATGAAGATTATGATGATAAAAAAAAATCGACATGCTCAAGAGAAATAGCTCATTTTCAGAACAATTGTTTTTCTTATCTTGATCCACGAGACAAGAGATTAAAACTTCTTCATTCCAAAACAGATTTATTCTCAATGGAGCATTGTCTGTAGGGGAGTTTGTAATGGAGGCTGGTATATTGTATTACGAGAGGAAAACAGCATTTTTGAATATCGAAAGTTTTAGGCTATTCGAAATTCGAGTATTTAGAAGTTGGTGGTCGAAAAATCTAAAAACTGAATGATACGAAGATCATAACAGTATTTTGACATGTCTGTCACGATCTGTGAAGAGAGATAGATACAATTTTGTCGCTATATACTTCAATACTCATTTCCAATCGTTTTCCACAGAAAATAGAATATACTACAGTTTTCAATTAGATTAATTACTGTTCAGATTGAATCATAACATAGTTCTATTCGATATGAAAATTTTTCTAATATTGTTCTTTTATATATTTTTCTGTTTTCTAGTATGGGATGATGAAGATGGATTCTATTATGATCAATTGAAATATTCCTCAGGAAAAGTGCAATTTTTGAAAAGTAAATTTCTTTTTCTTTAATTGTTTAATTATATAAGAAAAACTTCAGTTCGTTCGATCGTCGGTATCATTCCCATACTGGCAGTATCACTCATCGAGATGAAGCGTATGGATTCATTACCTGGGTTCAAAAAACGTTTCCAATGGGTCCTTCAGCATATGAATAATCCGCGGCAGCATATATTGAAGAAAGATTCCACTCGATATGAAAACAGTTTCGTCTATCTGCTCACAATACCAGACGAGAATCAATTGCGACGTATTCTCACATATCTTCTCGATGAAGACGAGTTTCTTTCTGATTATGGATTGAGATCACTGTCAAAGTTTCACGAAAAAAATCCGTTCAGTTTCGATATTCCTGATGATGGTGAAATGGAAATTAAGTACGTACCCGGAGAATCATTGTGTGGCCTGTACGGTGGTAATTCGAATTGGCGTGGACCCATCTGGTTATGCATGAACTATTTGGTAATCGAAGCTCTCGAAAGGTCTGTTTCTATTGTTTTTATTTCTAAACAATTTTCAACACACGCTTTAATGTCTATAAATGGAAAAGACTCACAATACAGTTAATTTATTTATGGAAAACCGTAGCTTATCAAAAGTCATGCACCTAGGCAAATGAGATGATTTCGTTTGTCGATAATTTTTAGAATAACTGTTTCGATATTAATAATGTGGTATGGGAAATTTCTGAAAAACATTTTCATTTAGAATTCTTATTACTATTCTATCTCAATGCAAAAGTTGTCTTACTTTTGAAATTTATTGAAAATTTTCTTCCTTAGATATCATCGATTTTTTGGTGATTCATGGAAAATTGAATGTCCTACACGAAGTGGTCAAATGATGAGTTTAATTGAAGTTTCCCGAGAAATAACTCGACGAATTACCAATATTTTCAAGTGTGATGATCAAGGACGACGAGCATGTCATGGAGATGATATTCGCTTTCAAAAAGATCCTTATTGGCGTGATCTTGTTCTCTTTCATGAGTATTTTCACGGTGATACTGGACTAGGATTAGGTGCAAGTCATCAAACCGGTTGGACAGCCGTCGTTATTCGTCACATTGAAGATATGGCCCAGTTAAGAGCGAACAATAGTAAAGAAAAAAATGAATAAACTGACATATATTTTATTTTGTGCAATTTGCTCAAATCTATTTCTCTGTTTATGCATATTAGCTATTATTGTTCTGATCTGGTAGAAAGTTTTTTCGAAATGGTTGTTTTTTTAATAAACAAGCGATGTGATTTCATGACATTTCTTAGTAATTTAAACAAGCTTAGAAAAATAATATTCATATATACTTTTCCTATTTTTCACTTTTCTTCATAGTATTCGATTCACAAAAAAATGATAAAAGGATACTAATTATTTGAAGTTGCACATTGTACAGTGGTCAGAATTCCACGAAATATTAGTTATTTCACTAATAAAAGATATTATTGCTCTTTCCATTCATTCAAAATCCACCAATGCTAAAATATCGTGATACATTTATTGGAAAAGGCGAGAACATATCAACTGGTCCGAAAAATTTTATTTCATGATAGTCTCGTAAAAAGTACACCATTCGAAAGAGCGTAAAAAACTGAGTCTGTTGATCTAATTTTTACAGAGTGGTAGTTCCAAGTCCTTAGCAAAAAATTTTAAAATACATTTCTTAGTAAACTCTATCATAGTGCTTCGTTCTCTTGCTATTTTTTTTCTTCCTGCATGTATATGTTCACATATAGAATCGTTCCTATATAGCGTATATATATATATTGCATATATACTACTGAAAGAAAAAAATTTAATCGGTGTTCCTTTTTTTCACGTTTCATTTTTTAATTGATAAAAACAGACTTGAAAAGACTGGCCTTCAAGGAAACATATAGAATTAAAACAAAAATAAAAATCTCTCTTCCAATACAGATTATATTTAATTTGACAAAAATTTAAAGGATGAGTGCTTTTTTATTTAAAAAATTTGTATTTAATGATCTTGTTTTAAATCTATCTATTGGTTTATTCTAATTCTTTTTGAATTTAATTGTTCTCTAAATTATACACAAAAGAAAAATATATAACAACGATTTATTATAATAGTTCAAATATATAATAAAAATCTTGATGAGAAACGATCCATTGATAAAATGTTGATGAAAGCTTATTTTAAGTGCGAGTTGATTTTCTCTCTTTTGTAAGTTTAATATATGTTTACATTGACTATCAAATTTAAAAAAGCAAAAATTAAAATTATATTTGCAGATAAATAAATCATTCATTTAAAAAACTTTCAAGAAAATGATCCAATGCGATGTTGCACAACTCATTTTAACACTAAGAGCCCAAGTTATTGTTTTTAATTTGTTTTGTACCTTACATAAAAACGCGTGAAAATCAATAAAGAAAATCTGAGTTAATAAAAGTTACTGAAAATCATCGTTTAAATTTACTTATAAGCAGCTGAAAGCATGTGGGTATGAGTCAGCGGCGGATCTAGGATTTTTTTGATAAGGGGTGATTCGATAGACATGGGACGATTTTGATCAAAAAGCAAGTTTTGAAGTTTATTAGTAGTAGAATGCACTCTATTTTTAAGACTTTTCTGCTGGGAAAATCCAAAAATTTTTGCTTCGAATGGGGGCGATCGCCCCAAGTGCCCCCCTAAATCCGCCACTGGTGTAAGCGTGGGGTGTGGGTATAGGTATGAAAAGAAAAGAACCAAACCCACACTCACACCCCACACCCCACACCCACATCCGCACCCACCCAAGATAGGAACTAGAACAAAAGATACAATATGAAAAATGGTTTGAATCACACACAAAAAAAAACGAATTTCGAATGATGAAGATAGGCAAAAGAAAAGTTTGTTAATTAGAAGTGGAATATCAGATGACTACCAATAAAAAAGCAAATAGTAAAGGTATTGCAGGTACGATGAAGTAGAAAGCATTAATAGATGTAGATAAATCATACGAGAGAAAATGTTTATGATACGATCGGGTTTGGTGGTACAAGTGAAGATGTGGGTGGGTGGCGTGGTGGTGAAAGTAATAACGATGCATATTGCGGTAAAGGTTGATGTAAAAACGAATTAGGTATATGAGCATAAGATGGCTGATAAGGTGGTGTTGAAATGGAAGAGATATGCGCTGGAAAAGGTTGTAATGCTTGTTGCTGTTGACTGGCTAGTTTCAGTGTCAATCGGCAACGTTTATAAACGTAAATAAGAAAAGCGACGATTACCAAACCCCCTACAACGAGTAACAGCAAGAACACATAATGTGTCCAGTTGCTACTATCAAAGCTTTGATCACAAGAGACCACCATTTTACGATCAAGAAAGGCTTTGATTGGATGAGCCATGATAAACCAAACCCAAATGTATAGAACCGCCATGGCAGAAAATAAATATTAACTAATAATTTGAAGACAATGTGTAAATGTATATGAAGGGTATATAGAATAATAAGAAAATAACAAGAGACGTCGATGAAGAAAAAATAAACACATAAAACTTGTTCGAATATTAACGAAGATAAAATTCAGATGGGAAAAATATTCGAATGTAAATACAGAGGACGACATGTGAATATGTGACGATTCTTGTGATGTGTTAGCGTAGGAAGAGAACATTTCACCAGGGTGGGTATGGCGTGGTCCCGAGAATATACGCGTTTAATATTGTGCGAATGGACCTGAAATCTTTGAAAGTTTCCATCTTCAACAATAAAAGACACCGGTGAAATAACTTGGATGATTCGAACAGGACCTGTATAACGAGCATCGAGTTTATTACAGCCCACGAAAATTTTCATCCACACTAGATCACCTGGTAAAAAAGTTGAATGTGATCTATTTTTATCAAAACGAAGTTTCGTTAGTTGCTGTGGATGTAGAACATTGTTTTTTGCTTGTTTTAACGCCGTATTTCTATATTGCATTAATTGTGTCCGATAATCATGTGGTTTAGTAAATTTGAAAGTAGTTGCAGGAGGCTGAAATGGATGACGCGGTTGTCGTCCAAATCCAAGTTGATAAGGTGTAAATCCAGTCGAACTATGTATACCATTATTATATGCATAGACGATAGGTGGCAAAAAGGTGTCCCAATTGTCGTGTTCTGTATTACAAAATTTAGCAATGTGTGTAGCGAATGTTGCATGCCATCGTTCAGTTTGTCCATTTGTTTGTGGATGATATGATGTTGAAAAAACGTGTTTGCATCCAACTAAATTCGAGATAACATTCATTAATTCGTTGTTGAAGTGTGTTCCTTGATCTGTAAGAAGTATATTAGGAGAAGCATGAACTAAAATCATTTCTTCCATGAGAATTCGGGCAGTATCTTGAGCGGTATTTGTAGGTGACGGTTTAGCAAAAACGTAGCCAGAGAGTCGATCAGTTATAACCAGAACATATCGATTGCCATCAAGTGAAATAATAGTGGGTCCCCACCAATTCATGCCTAAAATTTGAAAAACATCGTTAGGTGGTTGAATAGGTTGTAAAAGTCCTGGAGGTTTACGACGGTTCACATTAAATTTGGAACATTGATTACATGATTGGATATAAGATGTAATTATTTCTTCCATACGTGGCCAAAAATAGATATTTTTTAGAGCAAGCCGTGTACGCTCAACGCCGAAATGACCACTTAAATGGTGATCATGATAAGCAGCCAACAGTTCTGGAATTAATTTCGAAGGTGAATAAAGTAGTTTCGTAGCTGTATTACCTCGACGAGCTAATTTATAAAGAATATCACGGTGGATAATAAATGGTTGATGACACGTTTTATTGCGAACTTGTTGAATTAATTTTTGAATAACTAGACCTTGTGCCTGTTCAGAATGCATACGTGATAAACTAAAATCATATAATTGATTAGATGATGGTGAACTAGAAGATGTATTCTGTTTGGACAAGATTCCTGGTGGAGATGGAAGCGGTTGAGCAAGAAGTTTTACTTGTGCTCGAGGTGTAACAGCATTAACTTCCACATTCATAGCAGCATTACGAATAGAGCTGTTGCTTGACATAGATGATTGAGTAAATTGTAGACGTTGTGGTTTGGGTGTTTTTTCTGACCAGTTGTCAGAACCCATCAGCCAGTCATCATATGATATACTCACGGTAGATACATCGGTGTTGAGAATTGCAGCAGAAGAAAAATGTCGTGAAATATAATCAGTAGCAGTGTTATTTGCACCTTTACGATATTTGACGGCGAGAATTTGTAGTAAAATGTCTTGTAATTTAAAAAGCCAGTTCATTACACGTTTATTATTAATTTGTTTATTATGGAAATTTTCAAGTGGTTTATGGTCGGTTTCAACAATAAAATTAGAATCACCTATATATGATCGAAGTTCATTAATGCACCAATAAATAGCTAATGTTTCTTTTTCACATGAATCATATTTACGTTCAGTATCATTTACAACCCGAGATTTAAAATAATTAATTTTGGTACCATGTGGTGTATCTTGTCGTAAAATATCCCCGATTCCAACATCTGATGCATTAGTTGTTAAAAAAATGGAGTTGATGGATCAGAATATTCTAAAAATAAAGGATATATTGTTAGAACGTGTTTAAATTCATCAAATGAATGTTGCTGATCAGGGTTCCATGTAAATTTAGATCGATGTTGTTTTGTTTTATTAGTAACTTTGTGTAATGGTGCTGCTATACGAGCAAAATCAGGAATGAACTTGCAATACCAATTTATTTTTCCCAAAAATTCATTTGCGTCTTTAAATGTTTTGGGAGGTGGTAAATCAATAATAGCTTTAATTTTATCGCCATTGGGCTTTATGAATTTTTCATTGATTGTGTGATGTAAAAAAATCAATTTTGTCGAATAGCAATAGAACATTTATCTGGATTAACTTGAAAGTTGGCTTTAGCTAATATTGATAAAATTTCATTTAAATGTTGTTTATGCTCATCGAAGGTACGTGAAACTATTAGAATATCATCTAAATAAGCCATAACATAATCCCAGTGTCCATAACCAAGAATATTGTGCATAGTTCGTTGAAAACTTGGTGGTCCATTCATGATACCTTGTGGAACCACATTGAATTCCCATAAACCATTTTGTGTAATAAATGCTGTTTCTTCTTTATCTGTTTCATGTATAGGAAATTGAAAACAACCGGATTTCAATCTAATTTTGTATAAAAGCGATGACCGCCTAATCGATTTAATAATTCTTCCGTTGTTGGCTGTGAAAAAGAATCTTTTTTTGTTGCGGAATTGAGTTTGCGATAATCCACTAAAAATCGAATACCACCATCCTTTTTTTTTGTGAATAATAACTGGGAAGGACCATAGTGAATTTGATGGACGAATTTGATCAGTTTGTAACATCTTTTGAATTTCATCTTGAAGCTCACGTTGTTGTTGGATTGTTCGTGGATATGGTCGCGAACTAATCGGAAGACTATCACCAGTGTTAATAGTATGTTGAATGGAGGTGTTAGCTTGTGTAACTTTTGAAATATCAAATATCTTCATGTGTTGTTGCAGAATCCGACGTAGTTGATATTTATCTCGAACATTGATAACATGCTCAAGTAATTTATCGATTATTTTGAATATTTGAGAAGAAGTTTGGTGAAGGTTAATGGTGCTAATGGTAGAATGTTGAGGTGATGATGACGACGAATAAGTAGATGGATCAAAGAATAGAAATGAATTTACTCGATACGGTGCATGTGTTACTCGACCGAGCACAGCATTCATAGGTAATGTATATGTATAATCATGAGGATTGTATATCTCCAAGTAGGTGATATAATTGTTTATGTGTAACAAAGACGATGATATTATAATAGGTTTTTCGAGTTGTGAAGCATCATTAGGAGAAAAATAAACAGTATCAGCCGATGATAATTCAACTTTGGCTTGAACGGTATATGAGTCACGTGGTGGCAATTTAATTACATTAATAGTTTTAACATCTAAAGCTAAATAATCAATAGATTTATCATACGGAATAAACATACGGTCCAGTTGGTGAACGTATAGATACTTGATTTTTGGCATAATCAATCCATACAGCATTTTGGGCACACCAATCACCACCAAGTATTAAATCGGTGTTCATAGTTTTGACTACGAGAACCTCCAGAGGTGTAAATACTGAATCAAATTGGAGTAATAGTTGAACTCCACCAATGACCTCGAGCATAGTATGACCATCACCTAATTGAGCTATACGATCACAAGATGGTACTGCTGCATGATGTAATGTACTTAAAGCACGTTGAGTTATAAATGAATGAGTGGCTCCAGTATCTATCATAGCACGTAATTGTTTACCATTAACAATTGCTTTAATGGATATATTAATGATGGGCTCGTTTGACAAAGAGTTGCATTGACGAGATGGTGTTTGTTGACGGGTTCTGTTATACATGATCGATAATAATTGAATGGCAGAAAATTCTTGGTGGAGACACAGTATTTGAAAGGCATAAGCGTATGACGATGTGTACGGTAGCGTGAAATCGGGAGAAAGCGTGAATATGTGGTTTTAGGTCGTGCAGAATAGGTATTAGTTCGTAATGAAGAACAGAAGGATGGCTTGATGAAGAGGGAGAGACTACCATCATCGTACTCCCTTAATATTTTTTTGTAGACCGATAATTATGAGCAAAATGGCCCAACTTATTACACTTGTAGCAGCGTAAAGGGCGTGACTGATGATGTAAAACATTAAATGAAGAATCGTGAGGCTGAGGAAGATATTGTGATGATGGTTGAGAACAAAAACGAGAGTACGACTGTGTTGGTGGATATGCATTCGTAGAAGGTGAGGAAAACATATTTGATGAATTTTGAAATTGTATAGATTCTGTAAGGTGTGTTGAGCTGGGATATGAATTATTGGGTTGATTGTCGGCAGAAATATCATTGTGAACTGGCTGATAAATAGATGTAGAAACTAGACGATCTAAAGTTTCTTTTTGTCTAGCTTGCTCTAAAAATTGTGATGGTGTCGTTGGTGCTCGACGTAAAACATCTTTCATTAAAGATGATTTTAATCCATGATATAAATGATCAGTTTTCGATACATCGGTCATGTCAGGATCAATTACTTTGCATACTTTCATAACATCTGTATAATATTTGATAACAGGTTCATCATAACGTTGTTGACGATTGTGCAAACGATGAGATGCTAATTGTTTAAGTGTTGGAGATGAGTACGTATGAAGAAATTGAGCTTTGAACACAGGCCAGGATTCGAAGACTGTGATATTTCCAGTGAACCATTGTTTAGCAGGTCCTTCAAGAAATGTTGGTATTATCTTAAGTGCTTGTGATTCGGTAATATCTGCCATGCGAAATGTTGAGGTGAGATCCTTGAGCCATTCATCAGCGTCTTGATCAAGTTTACCGGAATATTTAGGGGTTTGTTCCAAGTTTTTAGTAAGTAGTGTTGCTACCGTTGTTTCTGCCATAATAAATTCAATTGGACGATAAAAAATGGAGTTTAATAATGTATTATCAGAAAAATCAATATCAATTTGAGCTAATCGATGAAATTCGTCTTGAATGTGTCGTGCTGCTCCTTGCCGTGTTAACATAAATTAGAAACGTGAACAATATAAATAAAATCGGCCAGTGCACCAATTGTTAGGCCTTTACTTCTTTTATTTTATTATTCTCTCCCTTTCTTTAAAAGCTGTTAGCGCAACCCCTTGCGGGATTAAAAATGTGAAACACGATGAATCTATTGTTACTAATTAAATAGAAATCCTTTTGTTCCGTTCCTTTGCGACATATTTGTAGTTAACCGTTTATCTGATCTTTTACAACTACAGCTTCTCCATCACGGTCTGTGATGGGTAACAGGGTTCTCTATCACGGCCTGTGATGGGTACCCTGAATTCTCTGTCACGGTCTGTGATGGGTACCCTGAATTCTCTGTCACGGTCTGTGATGGGTACCCTGGATTCTCTGTCACGGTCTGTGATGGGTACCAAGGTTCTCTGTCACGGTCTGTGATGGGTATTCGGGTTCTCTGTCACGGTCTGTGATGGGTATGGATTTTCTCTGTCACGGTCTGTGGGGGGGGGGGGGGGGGGGGGGGGGGGGGGGGGGGGGGG